ACCATTACAAAACGTTGTGTACATTCCTGATCCTCCTGCTAATATCTCGATGATGGCTATTCCAGATCTTAAACTACAGGTAAATGCCATGTCAGATTCTAAAATTCCCTACATTTCTCCTTGCCCTCTTTGTAGGAGGCTCTGACTAGCTCTTCCTGGTAAAAACATTTGCTGGTGATCTTCACAATAGTCTTGCTCATCTTATTATTTGGCCAATGCATACTTCCCTGTTTCTTTGGCTTTGTCTCCTCCAGACTTAAAGCTACACATCAACCCAAGATAAGAATACCGTGGGTCTATTGAGGGCCTTTAGATAGAGCCTCTGCGAAGTATCTTTGTGTGTGTGTGTGCAGGGTCTCACTACACAGCCCAGACTCCTAGTGATCCTCCTGATTTCTGCCTCCCTAGTGCTGGGATGCTGACCCTGACCCCTGCACTTACCTAAGCGAGCCCTTAGTCTGCTGAGCGATACCGCCAGCCCTTCTGCGAAGTATCTTTAACTGCTGATCACAACTATGAACCACTTCAGCCAAAACAGTCTTCATCCCTTTCCCCCCACAGCAGTTAGGGGTACATCTTCAGAGGGGAGAGTATTCTAGACAGCTAAATTAAGTGAAAAGAGTATACAGGGCTAGGCTCCCAAGGGGCAATGAGAATACATTATAACTGTGACTACAGGCACATCCACTGAAGGCCAGGCTTCAAGATAAAGATAGAACGACCAGGCCTCCAGGCCTCACCAACTGGTAAGCAATATAACTGGTATCACCTGGTCCAGTAAAGTCGAGATGGACATCAGTCACCCAGGTGGGGAGCAGGACCTCCTGACTCATCTCTTCCAAAAAAGCCACCCTGGCTCTTTCCATGCGCGCTTGCTACATGACTTGCTTTCCCATTAGATCGTTATTACCTAAGTGGCTATACTTGTATTCCTATTGGTCGATCACGGTTTCATACCCACCTCGTGATTTTGTACCCACTTCTAAAAATTTCCTTTAAAAGGGGGGCTCGTTGGGCTAGGAGACAGCTCTGCAGCACAGCGCACCCTGGCACAGGCAAGCTCCTAAATTCAGCTCCCAGTGCCAAAGAAAAGGGGACTTGTTGATATAACCCACCTGGACAGCCTCCTATTTCTCTCAGGTGTTGTCTTTCCCTCAGCAAAATTTTGTACTCTTTATTTCCATTGTTCCTTATCTTTCTTTGATTTTTGAGTACACAGAGTATCAGACATCTAACAGATTGAGAGCTATAGTTCCCTTATATCATTTAGAGCTCCTACTCTCATCTTGGGGGCCACCTATAAACGTGTCTACCCAACTCGACCAGAAACTGCTCCCCATGGAGGGGTGGAGGTGGGGAGTGAAGCAAAGCCACTTCTGGTGGTTCCAGAGACCACATGTAGGCAACTGACCACGGGGCCAGGAGCACATATCCCTTAGCAGTGTACCTAGAGAAGCCAAAGGCCAAAATGAGGGCTCTACACTGTGTGAGGGGCTGAACTCTTTCTAAAGTGTAAGAGTCCAAGCCTGCAGAGGTAGCGCCTGCCTATCACCCCAGCACACAGGAGGCTGAGGCAGGAGGATCACTAGGAGTTCAAAGCCAGCCTGAGGTACATAGTGAGACCCTGTCTCAGAAACTAAACTAAAACTAAAACCAAAGCTAAAGAAAACAATTCTAGGAGTTCTCATTTACAAATATAAATCTTTTTCTTTTTTTTTCCGGAACCAGGGATTGAATTCAGGTCCTTGCACTTGCCCGAGAAGCGCTTATTCTACTGAGCCATCTCCCTGGCCCCAGCAAAGATAAATCTTTTTTGGCCAATTTTGCATGCTTATATCTGGTAATGTAAACAACTAATTTGAAGACAACAATATACAATGTTTACTTTCTATCATTTTCTTT